GTACACCACGTTTTCCTTTTCCTTCCAGCACTTTCCTCCACGCGGGTCTTAGCTGCACTGCAAGCCAGTCAGCCCTGGGGGGACGCTGCGGGGAGACAGCCTGCGGGGAGCTCCGCCCTGCTTGGGAGAGGTCTTGGCTTCCTGCAGGAAAGAATTCAAGAGTGAGCCCTCAGGGAGAGTGCGAGGACGGGGACAAGTGTGGCGGGAGAGGACGGAGGGCAGAGCCACCCCTCAGAGCAGCCTGAGCTGCGGAGGGCCTGCGTCCGCCAGGGCCGGTCTGGTCATGGCTTTTCGCAGAAACCCGGTAGCGGTGTTCCTGGAACCACTGTCCCTCCCATTTTCCGGCCTCCTTAGGACGGTTCCCCAGGTTGCCATGGTTATTTCTAACTGTCCCGGAGCAGGTGGGCGTGGCCTCCAACAGGCCAATGTGGGGCCGGTGGATCCAGAGTGCAAAGGTCACGCAGAGGTCATTCTGGGCGCCATCGCGGTTCCAACTGGTTCAGACCCAGCTCTCTCCGGACTTCTTGTCTGTCAACTTTTAGGTGTATGGAGTGTCCCTTGCCTCAGTTCCCTGCTGTCTCAGGTATGCTCCATACAGTGACCTTTCTTCACCCGCTTTTGTCCTTGTTTGTTTTACCTGGGACCCGCTGTATGCCACGTGGGACTGTAAAACACCTTGCAAACATTCCTTTTTATTATTATTATTATTATTTTGGCTATAGGGCTCTTTAGCTTGCCAAAGAGATACAGAGAGACAGAAGAAGCGAGAAGTCACCTCCCAGGGGAATGCCTACACCACTGTCCCTCCTCTCCCAGTCTCCTCTTGCATTTTGGGCAAGCACATCCACCCTATGTGTTTTCCAAGCCGCCAAGTCTGGGACTTGAACTGCCTACTTGGCCTGTGGGGTCCAGCTGCCTTATCCACCATGCCACCTGCTGGTCCTGAGCGTTACTTCTGCCTCATGGAATGTGCCCATAGCAGGGTGTGCCAGAGGTATTGGGCGGGGAGTGTGCAGCCCAGGCTTCCCCGTACCAGCAGAGAGCTGCAGGACCAGGGCACAAGCTGGCACAGGGTTTATGGAGAGCCAAGGACAGCGATGCGTCCGGCCAGTGGCCAGTGCTATGGCAGGCTAGCAGGGTCTCTGTCAGGGACTCCTTGAATCCTGTTTTAGATCCTTTGTTCAGTCAAAATATGTGCCCCCAGGTCTCCTCCAGCTTGCTACACTTTATCTTTGTTTTCCCATTTTTTGTTTGCTTGTTTGTTTTATTGAGCTCAGGTCTAGAAAGTGGTTATTTTGAAATGGATTGAAGTTACAAAGTAAGTAGTTCTCTGGACCCTCCTTAACCTTGTGTGTTCCTGGTATCCTAACACTTAAAGAGTATGCACACCCCTCCAAACTGAACATCACAAAATGAGAGGCCCTAACCCTACACAGTCTGCTGATTCTGTTAATTGATAAGATAATCTTTTATTGTGATCCTCAAACAATGTGTGTAGAAACTAGATCCCTGTCTTGGAGGCAAAAAATCTGTATTGACCATGTTTTATTTTTTGTTTTTTTTTTCTTTAAGAATTATTTATATAATTTCATTTATTATTATCATCACTTTTTAAAAAAATACACAATAGGGCACCAGAGCGAGAGAGAGGGAAAATGAGAAAGTAAGCCTCCAGGTCTGGGACTCAAACTATGGTCAATCATGTAGAAGTCCAGCACCCTCACCACCAAGCCACCTGCAGGCCTCTGCATTGATCTTTGATTGGCTTATGAATGCTTTGCTCTTAACATACATGACCTAACCTTGTCCTCCCTGATAGCAGGGGTCACTTACTGATTGACCATCCTTGCTACATCCCATCCTGCTCTGCTCTGTGTAAGCAAATTAATTCATGTTTCATGTTTTCCTCTACTGGACCTGTGGTACAGTCTTTGGAATTGGTAAACATTATAGGCAAGCCCTCACGGATTTGGGACTCCTGCCTTCCAGCTGGCAAAATGCTTCCCCTTTCTGATGGTGTCATTATGAATATTACCTCTGTACACCATGACGAGCCAAAAGAGCAGTGAGAATACATCAGATATGATTATGTTCGATATTTGAATACCTTCACTTCTCAAAGGCTCATTCCAGAGCATGACACTGTATTTGTGAAAAGTTAATAGATACAAATTCATATTTAATGTGATGCGTCATAGTTTATTTATTTTTTGATGCTGAAATTACTTTCACTAGACAGCATGAATTCAGTAAGATAGAAAAAGCAAACACAGCCCTTCCCCTTGAATTTCAATGGACTCGACTTCTGGTAAAACAGTGAGTTAATTATGCAAAGATGCCAGAGGTCACTAATGAATGCATTGGTAGTGCAGTAATTAATTTTTTTTTAAAAAAAAAGAAGAAAGAAAGAAAGAAAGGTCCTCTACCAGTGACAGTCAAATTCACTCACTTGGTTTGATTATAAAAGCTAAGTTTCAACAAAGTTGGACAACCATGTCGACTTTATGGGGACATTTTTCTGTCTGCAATTGTTTGCAGATGCCAAATCTCATTGACAGTTTGTAGGCTTAATTTAGGAGGCAAGTGCTTAGTCTGAAAATTAGTTAATTGCACCAGTCACTGCTCAGCAAACAGAATTCTATTAGTTCACACAAACAGGGAAGCAGAGCTGAAACACGTCCTGATCACTCTCTTGTAGGACTCCAACACTGGAAATGGCTTTACTATTATTTTAGTAAGTAGGAGTTAGAATAAGCCCTTCTCCATTTCCCTCAGCACAAAGCTTTCCTTTTGCAAAGATTACAACCAAAAGGAACCATGTGGCTCCAACTTCATTACTAAGGGATACCACAAGAGAGGCCTTTCACATGGCAGAACTGGCCAGACCAGAAAGAGTGGAATTCTCTTAGGGTCTTCAGACTCATAAAGCCATAAAATCCAAAGTGGTGCCCTTGGTTAAATTTGGTTCCTTTCATATTGGTCCTCCTTTTCTTATCTGATGAACACATGTTTGTAAATTATTTAATGTTTTACATAAGAAAACGCAAGTATTAACACTGGACCATAATTTCTTAGTTAATTGAACCATAAAAGTACAGAATCATAAGATTATGTATATTTTGTTGAACTGAAAGGTATCTTTCCAGTTATCCAATCTAAATCCTTTGCTTTAGAAAAATACAAACTGAAGCGGAGAGAGACTTGCCCCAGACTACTCCCGCCATATTGCTCTGTCTGTTCTCTGACCTCCAAGGCTCTTCAGTTCCCTCTGCACCTCAGCCACGCGGTTCTGTGTATCCAGAGCTCACTGTTTCTTCACCATCACTTCATAATCTAGCCCATCTCGTATCTTCTTTTAAATAAATCTTTTTATACGTTCTCTCTAATGCCTGTAGCATACAATCCTGCCTCACTTTATATCCCTCCGCCCATGCTATCTAACCTTCAGGATCTAAGATGGATTTATTTTATTATTATATGGGGACTTGCCTTAACGCTCCCTCTCTCTCCTGTTTTGTTTTGTTTTTGTTCTTGTTTTTGAGAGTTCTTTGCCTTAGGTCATGTGTGCTCACCAGAGAGTGAGAGGGAAAGTGAGACATTACTGTCCTCCCCACCCCCGAAATGGGGGGGAGGTGAGAGGGGTTGGGGGGAGGGAGGGAGGGGCAATGGCCATGCTGCAATCCCTTCTCTCCATTATGCCTCCCAGAATGAGTTTGAAGCCACTGGGTCAGGGATGAGAACTGCAGTTGGCCTGATGGAGTCCAGTGACTAGGCTGCGATTTCCCTAATGATAGAAAATTATTTGACTTATTTTTTATATTCTCTATTGTATCCAATAGAACATCCTGATATTTGAAACAATAGGCAAATAAGTGTGGTAGAATTTTTCTTTGGGGCAATATTTTAAATCATGTCCCTGACTTTCAATGTCATATAGTTATTATTTTTTCTCCTTAATTATTTCCATATAATGCCTTGGTACAATGAAATAGACTCAGATTTGATTATATTTAAAAACAGATCACAAATCCTCTCCTTGGCTAAAATGACAAACATAAATGAAAAGCAAAGCAACTTGCTATTTTTCAAAGCTACATATTACACTGTTTTAAAAAATATCTTACTTCTCCATTGCGAAAGAAAAATTGTAATGGATGAGTTAAACAGATTATAATTCATCATTATTACATAGAGGTGAAATATAAGGCAGGAAACTTCTTATACAATGGCTACAGTAAGCTAAAGGGAAAATAGTAGAGAGACTGGTCAAGATGGTTTGGCCACTTGTATTTGCTCAGTGGCTCTTAACTAAGTTGAACGCCTGCACCATCAGTCCGCCCATCTGTAAGAGAAGGGCAGTATCGTTTTGATGATTACATTTTAGAGTACTGACAGGCAAGTGTTTGAGGAAGATGTTCCTGGGTTGTAAAACTGCTGAAGTATAGAGACAAACTTTACATCTCCAAGTGGAAGAGGAAAATTTATAATGGCAAGTTTTCTAATGTAAATGCTCTGAATAAAGCAATTCTGAAACCTCGACTTCTCCAAGGCTTAGTCAAGCTGATGGGAATGTCAAGGTCCTCCTGGTCCCATCTAGTTTATTATACTCACTATGATTCTGTATCCTTTAAGATGCTAGGACTGCAAGTAATATAAAGTATATCAAAATGCCTTTTTAATAAGGCATGTTACTACTTTATTTAAAAAATAATCGCTTAGTCAGTGTGGTTCCAGGTCTGGTTAACGGAGACACTCAATGACAGCATTAAAAACTCCATTTACTGCCAATGTCCTACACTGCCCTTGCCTCCATACATGCCGCAAATCTGAAACTAATTTTTAGGCACTCTTTACAAGAAACCGCTATATGCCAGCAAAAGCTACTCTATTAATCAGCTTCTAGGAAAATCGTCTCACACTTCGTTGGCTAGAACTTTATCATATGCTGCTTCTCAATCTTCTGAATTGATAGCATCATCAAGATTTACTACTGAATTCTTTGAGGGAAGAGTAGATAAATATTTTTGTATGAAAAAAAGAGTAGAAATGAATATTGGTAGAAATGACTATTGGAACTTAATTCTCTATATTTTTTTCCGTTGGTTTTTTTGTCTTTTCTGCGTAGGCTGTCGAAACTTCTCCAGAAACTGACAGTTCCACCCTCTTTCCAGTCAATATATTTTTATTCTTTATTTGTATTACCACCTGCTTATATCTTTCCTTCAATGTTGATTAGAGATTCTGGGATTTCTCTTTTCTTTCCTTGCCTCAAAGTGAACGTTTTGGCTTTGAAGTTTACATGGCTTTGTTAGATATTCTTAACAAGTTAAGGTAGTTCTCTTTTTGTGTGGTGAGAATCTTTATTATGAACCTAAATATAGATAAATTTTTATGTATTTTACTAACTTCTTTTTTAAGTTACAAAACACAGGCAACCAACATTCATGTAATTATAACCTAGATGAAGAGGATATTAATATTCTCCCAACTGTGTGTTCTTTTTGAGTCACTTTCTCTTCTCCCACTCTGTGTATAAAAAAAAAAAAGTGAACAATATCCTGTTCTACAGCCATGAAGCAATAATGCCTACATTTAAGCTTTATATAAACGGGAACATACCAGAGGTGCTCTTTAACTTTCAGATTATATTTATGATGTCCACGTTGTTATGTGTACTTGCCATTATTCCAGTAACACTGATAAGTAACATTTAATAATTTGAAACTATATATTTGTTCCTTCCAATTCAAAGGAACATTAGCATTTTATTCCACTTTTTCTTTATCGTGAGTAGTGTTCCTCTGAATATCTTGTACTTTTATCATGAGAACACATATGCACTTACGTTGGATACATATTTAAGAAAGGAATTGTTGGACTAGTCGGTGGTGTGGTTAAAGACACCTGGATCTCACATGAGCATCTGCAGAGTTCGAGTCCCAGATCAGGCAGCTTGAAAAATATGCTGGATATGTGTGAATACATACATGCCCCAATCCCTAAGGAGGAAAAAATGAGCAAGAAGGGATTATGGCATGATCATGCCCCATGGGGGAGGAATGCATTCTCATTCCTCTTTTCTCTCTCTCTCTCTGGCAAGTACATATGCCCTCTGGTAAATGAAGAAGAAAGAAGAAGAATTGTTGATACATAACGAATGCATGGTTTCAGCTTTAGGAGACATTGCCAAATGGTTTTCCAAAGGGGCTTTACCTCCTTACTCACTGACTATGAGAGTAAAGATTGCTCTATATTTTCATATAAATTAATTTCTACCTATCTTTCATTTTAGCCCTTCTATTGATCCTGCAGTGTCTTGAGTTGTCTTTTAATTTACCTTTTACTGATGACTAAGGTTTTATTGGCAAATTGTACATCATCGTTTGTGACATGCTATTCAAAATGTTAACCATATTTTGGTTGATTTGTGTACAACTTTTCAGTTGATGTAAAAGGTTGTTTTCTATTCCATGCACAATTCTTTGAAGAACGTATGTACACCAAATATATTCATCATTTCTATGGCTTGCTTTTTATTTATTTAATGGTATTTTTAAAAATGAACTTAAAGGGCACATAATCTAATTTACTGTTTCTCCCTCTGTTAGGACTTTTTAAATCCTCTATAGAAAACTTTTCTCTATACCAAATTTTGAAGATATCCTTCTATCTTTTATAGTTTTAAAATTTTTAAATCTACTTTTGGCATTTAGATTTATAGTCCCTCTGTTATTGATTTTTGTTTATGACATTGCATTTGTTTTCTGTGACTCTTATAACAAATTGCCACAAACTTAGTAGCTTAAAACAACACAAAGTTATTACTTTACTGTTTTGTAGGTCAGAAGTCTAGCACAGGCTTCTTACCCTTTCCATCTTCAAGGACAAAAAAAGCAAACTAAGTCTTTTTTCATATGCTTTTACACTGACCTCTTCTCCCCTATTCTTCTTTAAGGAAATTTGTATTTATATGGGGACCATTAAGATAATATAGAATATGCTCTCTGTTTTAAACTGTCTTAATTTCCTATGCAGCCGTAATATGTAAGGTAACATGTTCTTAGGCCCCAGGGCTTAGGGCATAAGCATCTCTGCGTGGCAGCTTCCTGCCTCCCTATAGACATGAAGCTGAGTTTAAGTTTTATGTTTTGTTTTTCTATTAAATTGACCCTGTATCACCCGTTCAAGGTCCACTCCACTATAGTGTCCTAAAGTATCTGGGTCTGCTTCGGAACTTTCTTTTCTGTTCCAGCTGTCTATTGTGTTGATACCACATTGCCTTTATTCTCATTTTAATATTTTTTGATATTTGTAATTCTAAAACTAAATTATTTCCCCTCAAGATAGCCTTGGCTGGGGCCAACAGGTGGTGTGGCGTTTAAGGCACTGGACTTCCACATGTCCGAGTGCAGTTCGAGCCCCAAACCCAGTGGCTTGAAGCTCATGCTGGATGCGTGTGTGTGCCCAAAATTCAAAGTGGAGAATGGAGAAGGGATTGTAGCCTGGCCATCCCTCCTGGGGTGATTTCTTTCTTTCTGTGTGGCTCTCTGACAAGCACATGCTCCCTATAACAAAAATCTCTCTCTGAAGAAAGAAAAAAAAAGAAAAGATTGCCTTGGCTAATCTTGACCTTTTGAGTTATTAGAAATATTGGGGTAGCCAGTGATATGGTGGTTAAGGTGACTGGATCCAACATGGTCAACTGTGAGGTCCAAGGTATGACCTGGTGGCTTGAAAAATACATTGCATGCGTGTGTGTTCATGCCCAGAATCCCAAAAGGAGAAATGGGGGAGATGGGATTACAGTGTGGCCATCCTCTATAGGGGTTGATTTCTTTCTTTCTCTTTCTGTATCTCTCTAGTGAGTATACATCCTTCAACAAATTTTTAAAAAGGAAGAAGAAAAGAAAAAGACAAGTATTTTAGAATGACATTGTTAATTTTTACTCTGATTTTGGTTTGGATTGCATTAAATTTGAGGAAAAGCTGATATCTTCTGTATAGTTCTTAAATATTTAAAGCTTTTATACCATTCCTTAATAAAGTTCTGAATTTCTTCAGTTTAATCTTGTTTTTATTCTTAGCTTTAGGTATCTATAAAAATTGTAGATTTATTCATAGCTGTTGGGTTGTCTGAAAAGTCATGACCTATTTTGTTTGTGTTTTTCTGTGCAAAAATGCCTTGCGACTTTTCCGACGAACCGATATTTGATGTTTTATAAAGCTACTTTAAATTTTTTCTTTAGTCATGATTGATTGCCTGCCCACTTATGTGAGAGAGACAAAGATGAGCACTCTTCACAGTGTATGGACACACTGCAAATCCCTTCCTCCAGTCCACAGCTTGTGAATGGTGGGCACCATTGCCTGGCCGGTTTCAGGCTGATGGGGCTGGGATTAAATCCACAACGGCCACATGGGATCTACCTTCTTTTGAATAGTGTTTGCTGTCCTGTCATGGAATCAACCCAGTGCTACTTTAAAATATGCCTTCATTTTTCAAATTTTCATTTCTATCTGTACTGAAACACAAAATGAAATAGATTTTTTTATATGGGGCTTTTATTAGATTACCATATTATATGAATTTTTCAGTTTGTAGCTCATCTTTAGACCATCAAAACCCTGCCTACTTTTGAGAAGTCTTGAGTTTTCCTTTATAGGTGTTTACCTTAGGAAGTATGAAAAACCAGTGAATTTCATAACTGGGTATTTGAGAAGCCAATCAATGTTCTAATATTTCCACCAAAAGCTCTGCTAAACTGTCTTCCTCTTATTAGATTTCTTATGTCCAAGGAAAACCTGAGTTCTCAGCCTCCTATTCAAGCCCAGAGTAAACAAATACTCAGGAGAAGAATGACTTCAAAAGGTCAGTGGATTTCTGCAGCACATCCTTCTGCAGAATATTAGCTCTTAGTATTTCAGTTTAGTAATTCAGTGGCTCTCTCATGCTTCTGAACAAGAGGCATTTTGGATTTTATGTTGCTTTTATAGTCTTTTATATATTGCTGTTAATCCTATATTGAAGTGTACATCATATGTTGGAATTTCTCTGATTGTGTACTAATGTATTGAAAAAGGGCATGTGGTCAGTCCTGTGGCCTGGTGGTTAAGGGAGCTGCATCCCACACTGTATACTATACAGTTCAAGTCCCAGTTGCAGCAGCTGGAAAAACACAACAGATGTGTGTGTATGCCCCTGATCCTAACAGGATGAAGAAATAGAGGAAAAGGATTGCATCATGACCACACTGCTTTTGGGAAAGGGTGCTTTCCTTGTCTCCTTCCCTTTCTCTATCTCTGTGTCTCTGGTTTGTGCATGTGCCTTTAACATTTTTAAAGAAAGAAAAAGAGCAGATGACTCATCTTCCTTAATCTAGAGTTTATAATGTTAAATGCTTTTCTTAACCTAATTAGCTAGCATTCATTTTTTAAGAAAGAGATTTTTGCTATAGGAAGTATACACTCCTCGGAGAGACAGAGACAGAAATTGAGAAATTATCCCCACCCCTCATTCCCCAGGGAAGAAGGCCACGTTGCAGTCCCTTCTCCACTGTTCTCCTTTTGGGGTTTTGGCCATGCATACGTATGTACCCAATGTGAGTTTTAAGCCTCCAGGTGTGGGACTTGAACTGTGGTTGGCCTTGTGGGAGTCCAGTATCTTAACCACTATGCCACCCTCTGGGCCTGAGTTAGTATTAATTTTTAGTAGAATTTATCATTTTATTTCATCTACACTTACTAGTTTATCTTTTAATTATCTTTTAACTTGGTTCACCAAGGGCTGGCCTTATGTCCTAGTGGTTAAGAAAGCTAGATCCCACATGGGCAGCCACAATTCAAATCCAAGCCCTGGAAGTCTGAAAAACATGCCTGGTGCAGGTGTGTTCGTGCCCAGAACGTCAACAGGATGGAGAAATGGAGGAGAAGGATTTGTGATATGATCATACCCCACTGGGGAATACTTTCTCCCCCTCCTCCATTTGTCTCTCTATCTGTCTCTGTATCTCTCTGGTGAGCACATATGCCCTCGGCAATTAAAAACAAAACAAAGATTATTTTCGTTTGACAATTTTAAGCTACTTTTGTTTCAAATGTGAATATTCACATTTATAAATTTAACTTTAATTACCACTTAGGTATATATCAAAATATTAAAATATAGTATTTTCCTTATTTACAGCAGTAAACATTTTAATATAAAATTTGATTTTTTTACTTGTGTGATATTTAGATGTATGTTTATAATTTGAAAATATACTGAGTTTTTGAGGTGTGATCTTAAAACTGAATTCTAATATAATTGCATCGTGGTTAAAAATATGACTTATATAATACAAACATGACTTATATAATATAAACTCTTTGAAGTCTTTTCTTTAATAATTATTTTATATTTCTTTCTTTCTTTCTTTCTTTCTTTCTTTCTTTCTTTCTTTCTTTCTTTCTTTCTTTCTTTTAACTAGAGAGAGACAGAGAGAGACAGAGAGAGAGAATGAGAGAGAGAAAGCCACCAGATCCAGGACTTAAATTGTGGTCAGCTGTGTGGGAGTACAGCACCCTTAACCACCATGCCACCTGCCAGCCCCAAACTCTTCAAAGTCTTAAAATTTGCTTTTGATCTAATACTTGGCTAATGTTAAAATATATCCCTTGTGTGCTTGGCAAAAATATGTACTCTACATTTTGGATACAAATTCTATGTATTTTCAGAAGATCAGTTTTTCAAATACCGCTTGGTTTTTAAATCTCATATATCCTACTGTTTGTTACTCCAGAAGGCTGATTGTTTTTCCTCCCACAGGTATTTTCTTTTTAAAATTTATTTTGTGGGCTTATGTTCATCAGCATTTTCATAGTGAGAATTTACAAATGTAAGATCTGGCCTGAGGGTTTATTTCTCCACATGGGCTTCAGACTGATTACTGCCAGAATCCAGTGTTAAATCAACCTGGTCTCAGATTTTCCATACAATTCTTTGTTTCACTTCCTATCTTTTCTTCTGGAACATATTACCTTCTATCTTAGCAACTTTAAATAGCAACTATTTATTATACTTTGTTATGATAACATTTATTTATTTTTGTTGTATTGGGTCTTCCTTTTGGGTCAGAAATTCAGGAGTGATCTACCGAGGTGATTCTAGCTTAGAGTGTCTCAGGAGGTTACGGTCAAACTATTGGTCAAAGATTTAGTAGTCAGAAGGCCTAAGTGGGGCTGGATCCACTTTCAAGATGATTTACTTGCATGGCTGAGAACAGAAGGCCTCAAGCCTCGTTCTTCATTAGCAGATGGTTCAGTTTTCCCATGGGGATGTCCGATGTTGTTTCAGTCTGTTTCCATAAGGATGTCAGATGTGTCCTTACAACATGGCAGGGGATTCCCCCAGAGGGAGTTACTTAAAAGAGAGAAAACAAGGGGCAAGTTGCGGTGTATTTTGTGACCTTGTCCCAAATGCCACACGCTGCACTTCTGCCAATTACACTGTTAGGAATGAGTCACTCTGTCTATCCTACATTAGGATGAGGAGAATTTACCTCAACTTCTGATCAAAGGAGGACTCATAGCTCAAGGACATATTTGAATCTACCACAACAACTTTTACATAATGCGCACAGACTGTAGACACAGCTCTGATGACTAATTACAGGAAGCATTGTGTATTATGTCTTTAGGGAAACATGTTTTTCCCGCTCAGTTTCAAGGCTCAGACCATCTATCTTTTTCTCCCATGTTAGAGCTCTGAGTATTTTATTTCTTCACTGTTTTCAACGAGCCTTCACAGATGTGGCTGTATGAGTGTCAGTTCCAAATCTTCTTTAAATCCAAGACCATGACTCATTGTCTCCACGTAGCCAGGAAAACTGAAATCACTTAGTTGCTAAGATTACCACAGGGATTGAGGACCCCATGTGCTTTTGCACTGTATTTTAGCCTCTTCTTTTATTTTATCCCTGGGAATTTTCTTGCTTTCTTAAAAACACAATATGAACTTATAGGTATGTTTACTTCATATCATCCTGAACTTGTAGAATTTTTGTTTTAATAAGGTGTTAAGAGGATGATCACGGGAGACCAGCAGATAGTGTAATGGCTATGTTGCTGGACTCCCATGTAGTTGATCATGGTTCGAGTCCCGGACCTGGTGGCTTAAACTCACGCCAGGAGCGTGTGCATGCGTGCCCAAGATCCTGAGAGGAGAATGGAGGAGAAGGGATTGCGACGTGGCCATCCCCTCTGGGGGGTGATTTCTCACTTTCTGTCTCTCCCTCTCTCTCTCTGTCTTTCTTGCGAGCGCACGTGCTCTATAGCAAAAAACCTCGGGAAGAAAAAAAATAAAAAAAGAATGATCACTTCACTTCAAGAAGTGAAAATCTCCGATGCTGGAATTACAATGCAGACATACATGGAATATCGCTGGAAAATGAAAATGCAAGCTGCCAGGTCCGAGACTAGATCTGCAGTCGGCCATGTGGGAGTCCAGCACTCTTTTCCGCCTAGGTGGTTTCATTCCTAGGTACAACCAACTCATTAAAACCCTTGGTTACTGCAATGGTAATAATGGTCATCAACCAGGAATATCTGTACATCTTTCCAAGATTATTTCTCTCCTGTTCTCTCTTCTGTGAAGTATGCTACCTTTGGTGATGTATCTGTTACTGGCTGCATACTTCTGGAAGTTTGCTATTGAGCCTTAATTTGTCCATCCTGTACCCACAAAACATTGTAGGTTTTCTTTTCAACAAATTTTACTCCCTTACAAAGAGAAATCCTAATGAAAGCTGATAATATAATTTCTATTTATACAACCCCATGAATTTCAGCTATTTATTAATTCGTTTTTCTAGTTGTTGTCTTTCAGACAATAAAATGTTATTTTTTTCACCATTTAGCAAGACATGTGTGACTTCAGGGGTTTCTGCATTACCGGTTGTTCCAGCTTTGAGTATAAGATAACTGGGGCAAAACAGCGACTCACAAAAATAAAAACAGTACACTCACTAGCTTGTTCCTTGGCTCCCAAGGTCCCTAGCTAGTTGGCCTTTTTTTTTTTTTTTTGCCAATTTTTAGAGTCTTTAGTGTACTTAGTGGAAAAACAGGTCTTATTCCTCTTTTTCAGGATCATGAATAGTCAACTAAATTATGCATAATCTCTCTCCCAGGTAGGTCTTAGGTTCTCGAGATCTGATAGCGCATCATGGCACCTGAGTGCATGGCTGTGGTGGAGACCTATGGGATTTTCACTGTCTCAATTCATCCTGTGGGGACTGTTGGCAAAGATGATCCTCTGAACTCCTTTCTCTGGTACTGGCTATTGTTTTTCTGATGAGGGGCAGATACTTGACCAAATAGCTAGGCTGCATATGGTGTGTGAATCCTCTTTCAAGTCTTCCTGCAGCAGGTACTGTCTCTGCCTACCTTTTCATGTCCTTTGTTTTATTCTCCTCTACTGTAACTGACTAAATTGGTTTCTTCTTTGTCATCAAATAATAAGTAATCTAAGTCTTTTTACAAGCAAAATGATAGTGATTGAATGTTTAAAAAATAATTGGAATAATAATAATGAAAATCTGGAAAAAAAATGAAAAGCTATTGGATGATGATGATATTGATTTTAATGTCTCTGTTATTGGCTGATATGCATGGTATTCCTTCTGGAGAAAGAAATGTAATACACTGTAAAGTTATATGTGATTCAATGTGATATAAACAAGATTATGGTAATAATAAATTAAAAAGTAATAAATAATCTAGTATCTTGTACATAGTTAAAAAAAATTCTATGGAGATATATCCCATAGCTTCTCCAACCTTTGCTTTGTTTTTTTCACTTTTCCTTTTTCTTTTTTCTTCTTGTCTCTTATACTTTCTGTTGATATTAGAAGAGTAACAGAGTTGGGGCCAGCAGGTGGCATGGTAGTTAAGGTTGCTGGACTCCTACAAGGCCAACTGCAGATCAAGTCCAAGTCCTGGACCTGGCAGCTTGCTTTTAATTCTCTCCCTCTCTCTTTTTTTAAGAAGAGTAACAGTTATGGGTGGCATTCTATTGAGTAGTCAGGAAAATCATGACACATTTTTGTATTAGAAAAACAGAAAAATAGATCATGACTTTCTCAACAGCCTAATAGTAGAAGAATATTTTAGTATATTTTCCCCATAGCATCTGTTATGAAGATTCATGTAATACTTATAATAAATACATTATATGGTGTACATCTGAGAATAGCTAGCAGATCACATTCCATTAAAACTTATCCATTACTTGGAAGCAGTGAAGGAAAACTGATGTTCCTTCAGTTTGACAGTAAGATCCATTGCCCACTTACAAGTTCAATAATGTGATAGATGCTCTAGAGTTATAAAATATTTACATGGAAAGGTCTCTGACTCATAACTTTCAATAGCTATGCCAAGTATGTTTGGAAGGACCTTTTGACATTTAGAGTTTATCATTATTAACTTTATTCAGGAGTAATGTTAAATGTGCCTATTGAAAGCTGCAGGAAAGAGTCCCCATTTCTGCAAGCATAATGGCTTAGAGACTGATGGGACTTGTCCTTCTGACACCAGAGGGAAACTGTAGACACCAAGAGCCTGGAAGTACTGGTTAGGATCAGAATATCCATTAAGGTGAACCAGAGATACTTCCTTATAAAAGAAAACCAACAGAGGTGTTTTAAAACGTTTTTTATAAAATTATCTCTGTCATCTCTTTTTATTTTTTCAGTTTCTTATTTCTCCTTAACTCTTTCATTGCATTGTTATATTATTAAAAGCACTGATGACAACATCACTGTCTGAAAGCATTCAGACAATTAAAACCAAAGAGCAAAGAAAACAAAACCTAAAGGCAGCATTTATTTGCTGAATAACCTCATTGTATCTCTAATATATTTGTTATTATAATTTGGTTTCCTTCTGAAAATCATAAGGTACAGTAACACTAGTTGAATGTCTGGGAAAAGGCTAAGAAAAAATGCGATTCTCTAGATATAAAAGTCAGGGAACCAGCAGTTAGCGTAATGGCTATGTCGCTGGATTCCCACGTAGTCCACCATGGTTCGCGTCCCGGACCCGGTGGCTTAAAACTCATGCCGGGCGCGTGTGCGTGCATGCCCAAGATCCCAAGAGGAGAATGGAGGAGAAGGGATTGCGGCGTGACCATCCCCCCTGGGGGGTGATTTCTCGCTTTCTGTCTCTCTGTCTCTCTCTGTCTGGCGAGCGCATGCGCCCTATAGCAAAAATCTCTCAAAAAAAATAAAAAAGTCAGAGGTACTCGTAATTTTAATTCTAATCACTGTGCATGATATAAACTTCATTTATTTAATTAAGTTCATGAGATGAAAGATTTATAGACAAAGGCGATTGAATAATAGTAATTTATATTAGAGTGCCTATATGCCCATATAGTGAGTTCTCTTTATTCATTGTTTCCCCTCATTACCACAAACCCAAGGGAATGAAGAAGTACCAGCCAGTAGATATGTGGGATGTCTAAGGGTTTTAAAAACGTCAAGTAATTCGTCCATAGTCACATAACCAGGGAGCCAGGATCTGAACTGAGATCCAGCTATGACATGTTTTGTTAATCAAAGCGCTAGGATTATCTCCTAAAAGTGACTCAAAATTGTTTTATTTTCCTGTCTCCCACTCTTAGATTATTTCCATAACGAAGAGAACTTTAGAAGACATTAATGTGTGGTTAAAATGTCCCCAGGTTTCTCTTGCATTGCTAGGATTTTTATGGAATTTTCCAACTTTCTTTTAGAAAAAACAAAAGATCAACAAAGAATAGAAAATGTGTCTAGTTTATCTTAAACATCGATCACACATGAGGAACCGAATTTCCCTATGACACTTAAGCCACTATGCAATTTGAATAATTGAATTTATATATTCCATACTCACCCAATCTATAATTTTTATTCATTCATTCTGAACTTTCAAAGATATTTTCTCTTACAAATCTTGTATTTTGCCTAGTTACACAAGATATGGTAATGAAAAGTTAGTCCATTTGATCGAAATCATAATGTTATCATTTTTGCCCTCTTGTCCAGAAGAAATAATTTTAATAAAGTCAGTGAAAATAAACTCAATTCAATTGCACATGTATTTGAAATATGTATGTATCTCATAAAGGAGAAAGATCTACACCTTGCCATCTACAAGAAAAAGAAATCATATAGTATATTGGGATAACAGGTGTTTAGCCCAAGTGACAATCTATCAGATTTCAAATGTGAGTAAGATCACCTCTGGTGCAAAGATTGAAAGTAGGACAGAAGCGGAAAGCCTCCAAAGCAGGGATAATTTAGGCATGACTTAAGTTTGGTTTCTTAATCTGAACTGCTGTAACTAGATGGTATATACTGAGTGACTTAACTGCAGATATTTCTCATAATTTTGGAGGCTATAATCTTAATGTCTCAGTGCCAGTGTAGTTTTGTTTGGGTAAGATCTCTCCTCAGGATTGCAGATCATCAAATTCTCATTATATCTTCCCTTTTCTCTGGGAATGTGCATCCAGAGAGAATGAAATCTCTCTCTCTCTCTCTCAATAGAATTATTTATTTAACTTTGTTTACTATTATTACTGTCATTTTTTAAAGGGCACATGCACTCACAGAGAGAAAAGAGAGAGAAAAGCAAGCCTCCAGGTCCAGGATTCAAACTGCGGTTAGCCATGTGAGATTCTAGCGCCCAACCACCATGCCACCAGCTGGTCCCCTCTTCTTTTTTCCTTCTAATATGGGTACTAATGCTATAATGAATGTCTCAGCCTCATGACCTAATCTATATCTTATTACTTCCCTTAGGCCCCACCTCCAAATACTACTATACTGGTGTTGAGGCTTTAACATGGGAATTTTAAGGTGGATACATATTCTATTGATAGCAGTGGTTGTGGTTTTTACTGATAGTGAGAATATTAAGAGGACAGAGAATGCTCTTTGCTCTTGTGGGTACACATGAGCAAAGAGAGAGGTAAAGGAGAGGTTGTAGGATGAGGTATTAGGTGCTGTAAACTGACAGCGGGTGACTGAAGTAACCAGTGTATAGTAAGGCCATACTGAATATTAGACTGATGATTCTCTGTATAATTTTATGATAATTACTGATGTAATTCTGGCATTACTTTATTGGTTTTGTATGGAGATTGGATGGTCCAACATTAAAGACATATAGCCACTCGTATGCAATAGTTAAATCAAGAGGAGGTAATGAAGTGTTCTCTAGGCCCATAGAGTATGCCCTTGACATTGATTTTGGGAGGAGGATACTAAGAAGAGCCAATGGCAATCGTCTGCAGTAGGAGATGAGTGTCTAAATCAAAGTTCTTGCAATAGAACTGAAAACAGCCAGGCCTTGCTGCTGCAGTTAAACTGCTGTGGTGGAAATCACATGCCAACTGAGGGTTTGGATCCGGGGGCATGCATGTGCCCAAGATCCTGATGAGCTGGAGGGCTGGGGGCAGGGGATTGTGGCATTACAAGACCCTGTCAAGGGTGTATGTGTCTCTCTTGTGCATGTGCTCATACTCTTTATCGTTAAACAAATGATAACACATGAAAAAAGGAAGGGTCTATTCTGGATATGCGTTTAGCACCATCAGTGTCAAGGTTATACTGACGAGACAGAGAAGTTGGGTACATTCATGAAAACTCTAAGAAGGCCATGAAAAGAGAAGAAATGTGTCAAGCTCTTTTGTTCTTAGGGTTGCTCCTATAATTGGGATTTAATATAATAATATGCATGATAGTAAAGAAGTTTGAAATCTAGTAAACCCAACAGGACTCCAGGACAGTCAGGCTTTGTGAAAACTGGGTAATTGATGACCCAAGGCTAAGCAAGGGTCAAGATATCTGTGATTTTGGGTGTCAGGAGTCTGTGGACTTTAGAATTTTGCATTACTGTGACACAGTCTCTCTTTTACTTCATGTATCAGTGCAGCTTTTCTTCCAGTTTCTGTCATGCACCATTGATCCCCTCTAGTCTTCATCTTGAATTTCAGAAGGAAAGATTATGAGAAAATCATTTTACACTCCATAGTCTTTGTCGTCACTCTTGCTGTGCAAGACACCATCCAGTGATACCTCTTGGAATCATTTTTGACCCTGAATAATAACATCTCAAGAAATAATAATTTAAGGTAGAAATTAATTTCATTCCCATCAAAGAAGTGTGGAGTTTAAATAGTCAGGAAGATGTTCCAAGGAAGCAGTATTCTTCTCCATACAAAATTCCATCTCCCCCCACCCACACACAGGGTCACATCAGGACTGTGACACTTCAGCCATTATATTTACTTTCTAGGCCTCAAGAGGAAGAAGTAATATGGAGCCCTCGTGGATGATGAAGTTATGCATCTTTCATTCCTTCATTGTATTGAATGAAATCTCTCTCTCAATAGAATTTATTTAACTTTAT